CTTTTACTGTTTTTGCTCTTAGTTGGATAGATGCCTTTGCCACACCTCTAAACTACAAGCTTTCTTTTTTTTATTCCCAGTTCTTCATCCTTCAGCTTTGGCTGTTGAAGCTCTCAGCCAGGACTGGTCTCACCTTTTTTCTTTATGCTTATTCTCCTTTTTGACTTTTCCATCAGGTCCTTGCCTTGATATGCAACATTTCTTCTTGAGAGCTAATGTGGTGCCTGTTTGGCTAGCTTAACCGTGCCATCCTCTGCTACTTTGTTTGGTGTCCAGACCCTCCCTTCTTATACCCAATGTCCTCTGCCTTTGCATCCACATCACATGTCCCTTTTTCCTCATGGGAGGTCAGTCTTCATGTGTGGAATTTGTCCAGTCCTAACCTCCCTTTGGACTGGACTCTTTGGTTATATAACCTTCTTCTCACATTTCAATCAAGAAAAGTGGTGGTCTTTCTGCCTTTCCTATTGACTGTTTAACTATGATTTGTCGATCTCCAGCATTGTTGGTTATTTGGCAGCATTATCCACTAAATTTTGCCTTTCCTGGTATCATAGATTGTTTTCTTCCCCTGTCCTCTCCGCTATTTTCTGTTTCTTCCATTTTCACCTACCTCCTCTCCCAACTTCCATGCGAATGGATCCTTCATGTATTTTTGCACCCACTCACTCATGCCACATTTGAGCCATTGGCTTCTTGCTCTTTGCACTTTTCACTTCCCTTTTATATTCTCCTCCTTCTCACATGTGGTTGCCATCATTCAGATATCTATGCTATTGATGCTTCTCAAACCTTCTTCCACAGCATCTATATACTCCTCTACCTGGACCAGTCTTTCCTACTTCATTTTCTGCTGGTTGGGAGGGAAACCATACTTTCTCTTCTATATTCCTTCTTTCTATCTCTCACCTCTATGGTCATTAAGACACAGATCGATTCCTGTGTCCTGTTTGGGCTGTTTGTTGTTACTTATCATGGACATCTCCATTTTTGGGTCCCTACCATTGTCTGTTCCTACCTTGGGACCCCTCTTTTTCCAGTACCCTCTCTCCTTCTATTCATGCTGGTTGTTTTATTCTTTTCTGTGTGTGAATGCTCACAGGGTTTTTTGTTTTTTTTGCATCCGATTTGTCACTTTTCTTGTTCTCTTTGCTTCCAGTTTTTGCCAGCCCTTGGGCAAGATCCTCTAAGTGGGGATGTGGACAACTTCCCACATTTTTGTTGCTCATTCTCTTCACCATTTGACTGTTTAATCTCCTACTGGATTTTGACTTCCACTGGTTGCCATATTGCATTCATCTCACCATCTTTGAAAAGAATAAGTATTTTTCCCTTTCTGTTGAACAGGATCCTACCAGGTGGCTAGTGTTGCCTCCCAGGGTATGCTTATATCCCAAAATTTGCATTAAGCCACTATAACAGAAAGTGTTCAGCCCATCTGCCTTGGTTCTATCGGTGCTCACTGCAAGATGAAATGTTCCACAAGAACACTTGAGATATCCTTGTATTATACAAATTTTCTCAGTTGTCTGATCCAGACTGTATTATTCAAAAAGCTGGCACTAGGGAAATGACTGCCACTTCTCTGGCTCGAGCTTACCCAATTTTATAAAAATGGTTTCACAGTCACCCATTACACTGTCATCAGTAAAATATTTTTCTGCATGGTGGTCCAATGGGGATCTGTGTATTTCTCCAGGTTTTCCCAATGCCACTTAACATTTCCCAACCACTAGGGTGGTAGACCATAGAGAATCCTCATTGGTAGGGCTTAGCACAATATAGTGAGAAGTAGGATAGTGGTGACACTGTCAGTGTTGTATGGGTCACCTCTCATACAGGCAGAGTCAAGGTGGACACACATCGCATGGTATTATTGCACCCTAACCACACTACATGTGTTGGCTTTCCGACAATTCCGTCCATCCCTGTGACATTTTAGGATGTTTCACCTGTCCCTCTCTTTCATCTCAGGTGAAGACTATACCTTGGTCGAGATGAGATGCTGTCTCCCATGAGTGTTCCCTATGGAGCCCCTGCTATCAGGTGTGACACTATGGTCTTCCCTTGCACCAGCCCCTCCACCAATTCAGTGTGGGATTCTAGCATTTCTGTGTGAGAGGTAAGTTATTATCTTGAAAGTTAATATTTTCAATAGATACCTCTTCCCACCTGTCCTTCCCCCTTCTGGTGCACCGTTTGTTTTCTTGCCTCATCTGAGAATGAAGTTATTACAAGTTCAAGTGCATAGAGGGAGTTACTGTACATGGAGGTTGTGTTGCCCTCTTAATAGAGGAGGGATATTGTCACATGATGACACCAGCACAGTTCATATAAAACATGTGGATTTAGGTGGGAGTTAGCTCAAGGCTAGTGGCATGCAAAGCTTATAGGCAAATGTGCAAAAAAAATAGTATTTCTGTGTGAAGAGATTAGTATCTAATGGAAATACATTTTCAGATTAAAAAAATGTTAACTTCGGGCAAATATGTGGATATAACTTTGACATCTTTGTTTACCCAACACTCAGGATAACTTTTAGAAGTGAATATTGACAAATGTTTGCTTATAGAAACTTCTTGATCAAACTTATGATCTTGAGGGTAATTTGGTGTGACTTTGTGTTTTGAGGTGGTACCTAATGATGTGGTTAGCATATATAACTGTTTTTGAAGTGTAAGCAGAAAGTTTTACCTTGATGCAGCACAGGAAATTAACATAGTCTATATAAATCTAACAATATGTCTGCCATTTAGCTAGATTTAGCTATTTTTAGTGTTCATCTAATATAATGGGTGTTTTTGCTGATGATTTTGCTAACAAAATAAACATAGTGATTCAGGCTGAATGCTGTATGACTGTTAAAGTAATTTTGCTGCCATTCCTCAAACACCT